ACTATCTCCACTTCTATTCAACATAGTGCTGGAAGTCCTGGCTATAGCAATCAAACAGGAAAGTGGAATTAAAGGTATCCGAATTGGGGTAGAAGAGATGAAACTTTCACTGTTTGCTGATGATATGATATTATATTTATAAAACCCCAAGGATTGAACCAAGAGACTCCTGGAATTGATAAATGAATTTAGTAAAGTCTCAGGATACAAAATCAATACACAGTAATCAGAGGCATTCATATACGCCGACAACAATCAAATTGAGAACCAAATCAAAGACTCAATACCTTTCACAATAGCAACAAAGAAAATAAAGTACTTAGGAATATACTTAACCAAGGAGGTAAAAGACCTCTACAGGGAGAAATATGAAACACTGAGGAAGGAAATAGCAGAGGATGTAAACAGATGGAAATCCATACCATGTTCGTGGGTCAGCAGACTCAACATCATTAAAATGTCTATACTACCCAAACTGATCTACAGATTCAATGCAATACCTATTAAAATCCCAACATCATTCTTCACAGATATGGAAAAAATAATTTTACACTTCGTTTGGAACCAGAGAAGACCTTGCATATCAAAAGCAATTCTAGGCAATAAAAACACAATGGGAGGTATTGATATGCCAGATATCAAACTATATACTACAAGCAGTAGTAATTAAATCAATCTGGTATTGGCACAAAAATAGGAACATTGAGCAGTGGAACAGATCTGAGAACGCTGATATAAAACCATCCTCATATAGCCATCTAATCTTTGACAAAGCAGACAAAAACATACACTGGGGAAAATAATTCCTTCTCAATAAATGGTGCTGGGAAAACTGGATAGCCACTTGTAGAAGGCTGAAGCAGGATCCACACCTTTTACCTCTCACAAAAATCAACTCACGCTGGATAACAGACTTAAACCTAAGGTATGAAACTATTAGAATTCTAGAGGAAAATGTTGGAAACACTCTCCTAGACATCGGACTAGGCAAAGAATTTATGAAGAAGACCCCAAAGGCAATCACAGCAGCAACAAAAATAAATAAATGGGACATGATCAAACTACAAAGCTTCTGCACAGCCAAAGAAATAGTCATGAAAGTAAACAGACAATCTACAGAATGGGAGACACTTTTTGCATCCTACACATCAGATAAGGGGCTGATAATTAGAATGTACTTAGAACTCACAAAAATCAGCAAGAAAAAGTCAAACAACCCTATCAAAAAGTGGGCAAAGGACATGAACAGAAACTTTTCTAAAGAAGACAGAATAATGGCTAACAAACATATGAAGAAATGCTCAACATGTCTAATCATCAGGGAAGTGCAAATCAAAACTACATTGAGATATCACTTATTTCCAGTAAGAATGGTCTTTATCAAAACATCCCAAAACAATAGATGTTGGCGTGGAGGCAGAGAGATAGGAACACTCTTACACTGCTGGTGGGACTGCAACTAGTTCAACCTCTATGGAAAGCAATATGGAGATACCTTAAAGTGATACAAGTGAATTTACCATTTGATCCAGCAATCCCATTACTGGGCATCTACCCAAAAGATCCAATGACACTCTACAAAAAAGACACCTGCACTCAAATGTTTTACAGCAGGCACAATTCATAATTGCAAAGCTGTGGACCAACCCAAGTGCCCATCAATTCATGAGTGGATTAATAAAATGTGGTATATGTATACCATGGAGTACTATTCAGCTCTAAGAAACAATGGTGATATAGCACATCTTGTATTTTCCTGGATAGGGCTGGAACCCATACTACTAAGTGAAGTATCCTAAGAATGGAAAAACAAGCACCACATATACACACCAGAAAACTGGTATTAACTGAGCAACACCTAAGTGTATACATAGGAACTACATTAATTGGGTATTGGGAGGGTGGGAGGGGGGCGAGTATATACATACATAATGAGTGAGATGTGCACCGTCTGGGGGATGGTCACGCTTGAAGCTCAGACTTGTGGGGGGAGGGGGAGCAAGGGTATTATTTGAAACCTTAAAACTTTTACCCCCATAATATGCTGAAATTTTAAAAAAATTAAAAAAAAAACCTACAAAGTAAAGAGGCTGAGATAAAAATTTTGAAGCAGCTTTAATTTATAGCATTATAACCAAGAATAAGAATTTCTTGATTACCTAGCAAAGATTTAAAAGGCATTTATTCTATCACTTTACTACTCAAAATGTTGTCCCTGGTTAAACAGTATTAGCATCTTTTTGAAGTTGGTTAGTAATACAGAATTTTGGCCTCTCCACAGACCTACTGAATCAGAATGTGCACTTTAACAAGATTTCTAGGAGGTTCTTGTACACATTAAAGTTTGAGAAGACCTGCTAAAGCACACATCTGATATGATGTGTCCTACTCATTTTTAAAAAGTATGAATTAATAGCTATAAGCATTAGATACCACTGAGAACAGAAATATGAGTCACAATCTTTTCCCTCTAACTGCCTCCCTGACTTCCATGTTTTAGGCAAAGTGTTTCCTATTTCAGTAGTCATTCATCCTTGTATGATCTAGCTTATTCCCAGACAATGTCGATTTATCTTTAACAGTTCATGCTACCTTTAGCTTTTCCTTTCTGGTTCATTGTCAAAACTCTAGTGTTAGCCTCAACACCTATCTACCAGACTCTTGTACTGGCTGTTTTACCTGTTTCCTTGCCTCAACATTAGCTTAAAGTTGGCAGAGCCTTTGCCTCAGAATTATCCAGAAGCACAACCAGCTCCAGCCTTCACATTCCCATATTTAAAAATGGAGTCATTTCCTATAGCCTTCCAATGAATTGCAAACTCCTTAATAAAAAGCAAAGTTCTCTTTGTTCAGGCCATGATCTACCCTCAAGGCCACATCTCTCCTTAAACTCCTGCTCGCATACAATGACATCGGCCCTTATTTAATACTCCTGATCAGATCTTGTAGCTTGCTCATGACAGGCCTTGACTTCTGCCATACTCTCACCACCCCTAACCCAACATGTACCTGAGTCCTATCCATTGTTTGAATTCCAAATTCAACCAGAGTTCTCTTTTATTTATCCTTTCACTGAGATCATCTCTCTTCTGACCTACTATTTATTGAACACCTTGCTTTTTATGCTACTGTATGTAATATAACAAATTATCATTCACAACTATGTCTAGTCTTTTCAACTAGATACTTCTTAAAACCTAGAAAATTGTGCTTATTCCTTTGAATGTCTGCAAGGCCCAATGATAAGTATCAATACTAATGATATCATGATGATGATAAAACTTCCTTCCTTCCTTTTTTCCTCCCTCTCTCTCTTCCTCCCTTCTTTACTTCTTACATTCCTTCCTCTATTCCTCCCTCCTCTTTCCCCCCACTTCCTTTAATCATAGATTTATGCATTCACTCAACAGATACTTATTGAAAAGCCTCATACACCACAGATTGTACTAAGCAATAGGAAACAACCATGAATAAGACACCATCTCTGACCTAAAAGAATTTATGGTTTAATAGGAATATAGACACAATTCGTTATAACTGGTGTCTGTTACTAAGCAGTGGATGTCACATGCAAACAGGTGGTAAAAAGTGAGATGAAATCAATGGAATATTGTCAACTAGTTACAAGGAACTATCCCTTGTTTATTAGAGCACATTTCATGGGCATTCAGGAGATTATAGTCAGGACAGCTTGTGAATAGTTCAGTAATATATAGTTTCATATTTGTTGAGAAGTACTTATCTCTGTAATAATTACCTTGTTAATATTTTTGCGACCAAAAATTCTAGTATTTAAAATATTTTATATGAAAATAATAAAAGAAATATAAGAAATTTATGTAGAATAAGAGTCTAAGGGAGATCTGCTTCAGTCTCAGAAAACATGCATTCATTCTTTCATTTGGGATGCATGTACTGCAGTTTACTATAAGCTTGGTATTGAGTCAAGGGGGAGGAGTATATAAGAATGTTAGACAATTTGAATCATCTGTGGAGAGTGTTCTACATATTGACATAATTCTGTAAGTAACATAAGGATTGGGGAGTCATTTAGATTTAAGTATGATCAGTATCTCAAGTTATCAGATATTTCATCTTCTAAAGGTTCCTACTTAGTAATGCATTATTTTAATTGCTTTACAAATTCTAGATTATCTTCAAAAATGGTAAATAGAGAGTAATTGCCATTTTTATTTAATAGTAAAAAACATTTTTGTGCTTAGTTATAATAGTCTCTTTTTTAATGAATCTATTTTTCTGATACTTTACTCTGAAAATTTCATTCAGGATAAAGAATAGAAGATATTTAAGCTCGACACCATCAATGACTCATAAAAAATGTTCTATTGGCTATAGATTATTTTAAAATTTATTACTCTACTTTAAGGATTTCTTGATGGGCTCCCCATGAAAGCAATTAATTCTAAGTTTTATGTAGTTTATAATGCAAAATACATTGATACAAACAGAATTTGAGGTAAATTTCCTTCTAATATAGTAATTACTTTTATTTAAATATCTCTAGAGGTTTTTTTTATAAAAAAACACTGTGACTAAACTATATTCTTTTTCACCTTTCATATTGACAATCACTAAGAAACCCAAATACTTTGTTCATGTTTAAATTTTACAACACTTCATAGACTATTAAACATGGAACATCCTTGTGGGGACAAGAAATCGAATTTGCTCTTGAGAAGGTTTCCAACTAATTGATTTGTAGGACATTATAACATTCTCTAGCTGAGAAGCTTACAAAAATAAAAACTGGAGCTGAACTGAGGGGGTGCTTTATTCCTGACACATAAAAGATGTCTTTCTTTCTGTCTTGCATTCTTTGGATATGGGCATGTCAGTTTCATAGAGAAATTTTCACATGGAGCTTTTATATTTCTTTCTCTCCCAGCACAACTGTATGTGGTAGTACATTGTTTAATCTCTTCTTAAATAAAAGGACATGGGGCTTCATTTATGTTTTACCTTTTTTTGGTATCTTACAGGAACTCCAGGATGGCATCAGGCAGCGGCAAACGGTTGTCAGAACATTGAATGCAACTGGGGAAGAAATAATTCAGCAGTCCTCAAAAACAGATGCCAATATTCTACAGGAAAAATTGGGAAGCCTGAATCTGAGGTGGCAGGAGGTCTGCAAACAGCTGGCAGAAAGAAAAAAGAGGTAGGGTGACAGATAAAATAGGAATTTGAAAATTTTAGCAAAGCTATTTAAGCTGTCCTGAAAAAAAGATTTTATGAAAGAAGATTATAAACAGGGTAAAAGGAACAAACATTAAGAAGCCCATCAACAGTTAATCAGTAGCAATAAATAAATTATTTTTCTTTCTTTTTCTCATATACTAAAATGTATACATATTATTAATTAGTGTTTTCTGGTATTTTAAACTTTCAAGTTTATTTTAAAAATCACGTAATTGCTTACATGTGAACATGTTCAGTATATTCCAACTTTAAAAAGCTGAATCCCAATTATTTTTAAAGATGAGAAAAACAATTATAAATGACTATTTTGTAAGAAAGACAGCCCTTTGCTAAGATTTTTTAATAGTTATGATATGACTATGATGCTAAAAAACACAATAGTAATATTTACCTCTAGTTCCACTACATCTGTTAGTACATTCTTGAAGAGGGACTTGGGCTAAAAATGTTCAAATCTCAAGGGGAAAGCAAAAATCCATACAGGTTATTGTTGAATTCAACTACCATTTAACTTTTCCCTAGAATGTATTGAAAGCACAGAAAGCCAAATGTATGCTGCTGCAGTTGGAAATATTTTATAAATGGGATTTTATATTATGCTTCCAGTTGTGGATGCTAATGTGTCTTGTTTCATAAGGAGAAACCTTGACCTTTATTTACCAAATGAGACTATTGTTATGAACAATGAAAACTCAGTTCTATTCCCAAACCCCTGCCTCCTACATATTATCTACATAATAGGTGGATTTTAATATTCAGGAGGCTGGAACAATTCATTGGTGAACATCTTTTGTTAAAATGTATTAGAAAGAAGATTTTGGAATTATGTATATTGTCTTTGCCCATTTCCCCTTGCTTCCTTTGCTCATGTTGCATTATTCAGAAAGTAGATACAACTCATATTCTTGTACAAAATGGACATATCAATTGACCTATATATATATACAAACACACACACACTCACGCGCGCACACAAAATCTTGCCAAAGTTAAAGAATAAGAGTGTCACCATCTAAAAATATTTGTATATTAAATCTTGGTTCAGAAAATATTCTTGATTTTATATAAATAAAATAAAGAACTGAACTTTGTAGTTGAACTAATTCCTTGAGTAAGTCATACATTATTTTCCCAGCTTGAAACCCTTCTATTAATCATATAAATATTCCATTGTTTAAATAACTGATATATTTACATTATGAACAGGTTTAAGCCTGTATAATGTCATTTCTGAACTAACCTGAGACTAGTCTAAACTAAGATTATAAAAAATTAGAAGGTTAAGATAAGTTGAATTGTATGACATAAAAATATATATTTTGGATTCATAAAGTGGATTAAATTAGAGAATTATTTTTCCATATTATATATAATATATTATTTCTTGTTTTTAAACATCTTACTCATTTGATATTTGAATAGAACATATTAATATTATCTTTGATAACTCCCATTCACCTGAATTTTCAAAATCTTATGTGTTATTGGCTTCTAAATGCAAACTATAGTTTATAAATAAAGATGGTGCATTATGGCTGTTTCAACAAATAAGCCCTAAAATTTAGATCCTTCTAACTTTGTAAGAAAATAGTATATGCTGACTCTGTCATGAAATATAATACAAATTGTAGGTTAATTACATCTAGGGATTTGGCTGTAATTGGTTAGAAAATTTTTTCCCATTTAAACATTTTGACCTACATTAAATATTGCACTTTTGTGCTTTAAAAAGACAAGATCAGCTTCCTTGAAGTTTTTTTATTATCTCAGCTTGTAAAGTTATCTACTTCATGCTACATTTAAAAAATAAATGTTAGCATATTTAAATTTTCACTGAAATCAGTTTTGTGGCATATTTCCTCAAGATTTTTATATCACTTAAATTGTATTAAGTGTAAAAATATAATAAAATATAAGTATCAGTTCTACCAACACACTCACAGCTATTGCGAAGTATTGAGTAGCAAATCAAGGAAAAATAAATATAATAACATTTCATAAAGAATATATTAGCCTAACAATTGTAGGAGGGCTTTAATCATGAACCTATTGTTAATCAATGGCATGCTTTCAGTGCAAACCAAGCAAAAATTATTTATTGAAGAAGGAAATAGAAGTTATTTATTGCACAGATGAAAAATAAGATGCCTCTTCAACTTAACAACAGTATTCTTAGTTTGCAATGGGGTTTAAATACAGCTGTTAGAAAAATTTCACATTCCTTAGTCTAGGGGCACATATGAAAGAAAGTGTACAATTTAAGCAAAAAAGTCTATGAAAAATATTTGGAGCCTTACAACACATAATTTTAAGACTTTCTCTTTGAATATGTGAGATATCAAAAATATGAAAAGAAAATTCTCGGAAGTTCAAATAGCAGTGGATATCCATTAAAGTTAGTCTATGTTAGAAACAAATGAAGTATAAAATACAGTCAATTAGCTGTGCAATTTGAGATAGAAAATTCACTGCTGCTTCAATTATATAGCAGAAGAACTGGGTAACATCTATAGGTTTAAGGATGATAGTAATGAGCTTAATGGTGGCTTAGCCACCAAAATTACCTTTGTAAAGAAAGGAGATGCAAATAAAAACCTATCAACTATAAAAGGAAGTCATAGGTTAACACAAAGCAAGCCTTTGTACAATGATTCTTAAGCCCAGGTCAGTGGATAAAACAGAAAGAGTGCTATGATCTTGAATTGAGAAAAAAATTACATTTTTGTATTTACTAACCTCTAACTGAAATTTAACATCCCCTTCCATTTTGAATGTAGGCAAAAAAACACAGTAAATCTAGAAGTACCTGTGAAATCACATGTATTTTCATATCTTCATAAGTTACTGAAGATATCTTAAAATAACATTCGTGCTTATCACTACTTCAAAACTTCAGTAGTATTAGATCTGCCACAAGATCATATTTAATAAATGAGCAATGCATTGCTATATGACAAATTTGTTTTTATAATAATTGTATAACTGTATTTCTTTCTTTTATATATATTTATTTATTTCAGAATATTATGGGGGTACAAATGTTTTGGTTATATAAATTGCTTTAGAATAGTTTGAGTCAAAGTTATAAGTGTGTCCATCACCCAGATAGTGTGCATCGTACACATTAGATGTGAGTTTACTCATCCCTCCTCCCCCCTCCCACCTGCTGGATTTCCAATGAATGCTATAATGAGATTTTAATACATTGGTTTTCTATGGAGTCATATATTTTATATTATGGTATTAAAAACCTTCTTAGGAATTCTAGGCTTCACCAGATTACCAAAGGGAACCATGGCATAAAAAAATGATGTTAACTATTTCTAGCCAGGTGTCTATCTGTCTGCCCAGAATCTTACCCTAATTTACAATGATTTGAGTCTTTTTAACGTGCAGTCATTATCTTCATCTGCTCCTTTTCTTCGGAAGTATTCTAGAAGATGTACCAGTCAAGGGAATGTGGGGAGCCAGGCTTTTAAGCAATGAATTGCTGACAATATAATGACTGAGGATTTTACTTAAAATAATGTCAGTTGATAATAGATTGAATGGGAGAGGGAAGCAAAGTGAGAAGTGGAATTCCTAAATTGAGAAATCTCTGAATCCTAACCTTTAGCAATAAAAATAATTTTTGGAGATTATATTTTTTCCTCAGACAAATGTATTATACCTACCATTTTACAGATAAAGCAATTATTGTACTGATATTTATTCAGTATTTATTCAGGAATAGTGATATTAATTTAAATGTTACCTGATTAAAAATATTTCTTGAAATTTTTCTTTCTTCAAATTTTAGTGAAAAATTTCAAGCATATAGAAAAATCGAAAATAGCATAATGAATACCCATATACCCTCTTCTTATCCTCCCAAATTCCTAGAATCAACAATGGTGAACATTTTGACATATATACTTTTGCTCTCTCCTCTCTGCCCCTTCTCTATCTCTCTCTAATATAGGCTATAACACACACGCGCACACACACACACACACATGCACACACACACATACACATACACACACAGAACACACACACAAGCTTATTTTGTTGTTTTGATATTTGCAAATAAGTTATAAACACCATTATACTTTATCCCTAAATAATTCAGTATGCACCATCTTGGAATATGGGTATACCATATATAACCATGCTTATTTATCATATCCCCCCAAACATAATACCATGTTAATATTTGATATCCATTCAATATTCAAATTTCCTCAGTAGTTCAAAAATGTCTTTTATATTTTTGAAGGTTTTTTGGGGTACCAATATCCCATTATGGCTCATGCATTACATTTGGTTATTATATTTCTTTAGCCCTTTTTAGTGTAAAACAGCCCTCCCACCTCTTTTTCTTTTTATTAATATGGACATTTGAAGAAGTCCAAGACGATAGCCTCAAAAAATGTCTAATCTTTCTGAAATTGTCTGATTTCTTCCCCCTCACAATATCACTTAACTTGCTTTCTAATCTCTGAATTTGTTGTAAACCGGAAGTTAGGTCTAAATAAGACTTGAAAGATGCAAGTTAAATATTTTTGGCTAGAATATTTCATAGGATGCTGTGTACTTTGTATTATATCACGTAAGGGGATACATAATATAAGACAGCCCCGCTCTAAATGCTGTTAGGTTTAATCACTTGGTTAAAGTGGTGACTGTCAGATCTCGCATTGTAATGTCACAGTTTTTTCTTTAAAATTAATAAATGATCTAATAGCTTTACTATCCATTGATGATCCTTCATTTGCTCAGTTATTATATTGGGGCATGCAAAATAGAGATTTTCCTAATCCTGACATGATCCTACATTTAGTAGCTGACTTTCTTCTGTTACAAAAAACTTTTTTCTCCTTATTAATAACAATATGGACTCATAGATTCTTATTTATTCAGTAGGTTATTATAAATTAGAATTAATTTTATTAATTTATTAATTTATTCTTAGCTGGT